CAGATGTGCCTATGTTGGCTTATTGACTCAAGACCTTTAGTGGGTCTTGGACTGGCTCAAAAGCTCACTGAGAAACAGCCCATCCAGCTCTCTAAACGCCATAGTTCTCTCTCATGAATGGATGGTTCACCTTGTTCAGGTTGAAGGAAACATTATTCGGGGAAAAAATAAAGTTAGTGGAGTTAAAAATGAGTGCAATTTTTGTAAAGAATATACAATTATCTATAACTTTGATTTGTAAATCACATACACAGAACATGAGGCAGCCAACTTGTGCTATACAGTCAAGCATTGGCTATAAATCACTGACACATCCATCCACACATGAAAGGTACACGGCTGTATGGTTAAAGTTGGGATCCAACCAGCAGCTGCTTGAAAACGGTCCAGGATAGAATCTTGGCTACTTCGCTTGTAGAGGGGAAAAAATATATATATATATACTGTATATATATAAAAAATTGGAAATGGCTTCAGCACTTTGGATAACTTGGGTTGATAAACTAAAATGCTAGAATTTATTTAATCTAAATCACCCCTGTCCTGGATAATCTTATCTAATATACAGGGAGTGTTACTACAGTACTGCATTGTTTTCCTGCTCGCTGCACAGACAATTCCACATCCATCTTGTTAATACCCACCTGCTCACTTGAGTGACAGTTTCACAGTTCGAGATGCGTACAACATTTGGAGAGCTGAAAACCCCTACTTTAGATTCACATTTGGTTGGTTTGGTTTCTGCCAAAGCCTCATGTGATCTTTATGGACTCAAGGTTATCTCTCAATTACAGGGTGTAAAACTGTGAGTCCAGTGAGCAGATTTCAATTTTGGCTCATCCCGGTTGGCAAGATTATGTGAGCCCAGAAAGAGCAATTATTCAGCCATTTCAATACAATTAGGAACGACTTTCAGATGTACATCCAAATAGCTTGATCAGATTACTACTGTATGCTCTCTTACCATTACTACATAGGTATTGTTTCTTATCATCATGAAAACAACAACATTATTTAATTCTGTATCTAAGAGTTTTAATTCTCTTCTCACGCCCGGAGGCTCCTTACATTTCTCAAAGACGGCTCAGAGCTGAGGTCATGCACATAAGTAGAATATTCCTGGGTCTATTATAAAGTCACTTCTGCACCATCACGTATGTTACCGTGGTACCAGCCACGACCTCACACTGTCCACATCCTTAGCCGGAGGCAGCCAATCAGCTCTTATTAGACATGTTAGCAGGGGCTCACTGATTCTGACAGTGCAAGTGTGAGCTGCGTCTATAGAGACAGACAAATGGAAGAATGTATGCTTGTGCAAATACATAACACACAGTAGCAGAAATAATTAGAAACTGACAATGATTTTTTTAATCTGCTGTAATTGTAGATATCAAGACTGATAAAGCTGTGGTTACCCTAACCCTAACCCAAAACAGGTATGCTCGCAAAAATTGCTCGGATCACACTTACAAGAGACACATAAAGAAAAGTTAACACTGTTTTTTTTGCATTAAAAAAACAAAAATATTTAGCAAACAAATAAAATCAAAAAAATAAATCCTTATAATCAAAATTCCAAATGTTGGTCGACTTGCAGAAAGCCAAATTCAATCAATTTGATATACTGTGGACTTAGAAAACTATAATAAAAAAGGCCATTTATCCAAACCGAAAGCAAAGTGATGCAACTGCTTAGAGAGACCCTTGCGTGAGCCTCACAGCTCTTTGTGCGCATATCACTCTTTATATCACATTTTATGGCTCTTTATGACGGCTTTACAAGGAAATAATCTCATCATCAGACTTATCTATCAATTTTATAAACAAAGCTGATTAGTGCAAACACTGCATGAAAAGTGTGATTTCCGTCCCCGTAAACGCCCGGATATCTCCCTCATTTTTGGTAGTTAACGACAATTTGCAACCCGCGCTTGTCGGCGTTTGTCTGTGCCACAAATTGTCGGAAACGGACTATGCCGTAAGTGGAGCTTCAGCGAATGTGCTAATGGCCCTAATTAGCATATGAATGCATCGAAACCGTGCGGCTGGCCAGGCTAGTGGGAGTTCCGTCACTATGCTGCTTGAATATCCTTTAAAGCCAGGTTTTCCACAGTAAACTTTAATGCACAAATTACCAGTATCTAAGAGCCTGAACCACTTAATATAGGCATCACTTGTTCCAGGAATGTCTTGTGGCGTGGTAACTGCTAAAATGCTTCCTGTCTCTGTATTAAATACACAGAAAAACACAGCTTACACTTTTAGTGTTATAGCCGTCTGCTTACATGTGTGTCAGGTGAAGAAGGTAATACAACTTCACTAGGGACAAGGGACAATACTTGTAATATAGCGACTGAGGGATTTTATATTTTTATATTTCTTTTTAATGTTCTCTGATTATTTATGATTTTAATGCTTTCTTATTTTGTTTAGCACTTTGAATTGCCTTGTGTATGAATTGTGCTATATAAATAAACTTGCCTTGCCTTGCCTAGCAAGAAGCTGTATATCAAGAGTCAGGCCAGTTGGACTTGCTGCTCTTCCCTTTATTAGTTGTCCTTATAAAACATATGTTTCAAAGAGTTTATATTGCTCCATGATACACTTGCCATAGTCCATAATGAAATTCCCCATGCTCCATTGTGCTGTGACTAAACATGGACTTGACCCTCCTTTCAGCACGGGTTTCAAAAATACATTTTGGTCAACACGGCATTTCAACATGGGTCAAAACAAATGTTTCTGCAGTTTAAAAACCAATACTGACATGGAGAAAACCCCCAGAGAGAGAGGATGAAAAACACAGCCCCAATCAACTGTGTGAGGAAGGGCGGGGATGTGACGGCGACGATCGACCACTGCGCTCGCATTCTAAAACCTGTCCCTTTAAAATTCCTGCATTTTTAAGGTAAATTATTTTCAAGTGGATGTGTCATATTAAGCTGAATAAGGCTTCCATTCCATTCTTACAGCTCAGCACATTGGTGTTGACTTGTTTGTAGGTCACACTGATTGTTCAATCACATTCTGCGGTGTATAATTAGGAGAGCTGATTCATAGGACTATTTCACTAAATGATCTCAATTACACTCATCCACTCCGACTGTCCCTGTTAGAGGCGCAGAGGTGCACTGCATCACTACACATGATGTGACACATTCAATTATCTTTTAGGGGGATTTCAGCCCAGAGGTGTCAACTCTATTACTCACTGCTAAAAAACAATTATACGTACAAACTCCTACAACAGAAGCAGCTTTAATTTTTCATTCTATTTTTGTTTTATCTTGCACTGATTCTGCTGCAGAAGACTTGTACTTTATTAAATTGGATGTTGAACTTTTTGTATTTATAGGGATGCACCGATGTATCGGCTGAATATCGGTATTGGCACGGTGCAGCAAATTAAACACTTTGTACTCACGGGTCTCGCTACGTATTCACCGGTCCGCCACATATCACTTCCCCTTGTCCCCTCTATAAACCATACAATAGCATCATCAATGGCTCGCCCGCAGCTCAAGGTGAACACCGGGTTCCGCGTACATACAGGTACTGTAGCACCAGGTGACCGGTCAAACCGAGCGCATCTTTGGTTAAGCCATTTATATCAAAGGTGCGTGCACTTGCACTGTACATGTGATTCATTTTTGTATTGTTGCTTTTTGAGATTGAGATATAACGGACTATATATGACTGCTATAAAAATCATTTAACACAACAAATCTCATTGGACATTTGAGAGGCAAGCATGAGGCGGTGTACAGCGATTGCATGCAAGCTGAAGAAAAACGGAGAACAGTTTGCAGAAAGTACCAATTGTACCAAATAAAGAACTGTGAACATGTGGATTTAATGTTTATTTGAGTCTTATTTACAGTAATTTTTTTTTTTTTTACATTATCAAAACATCAAAAAATGTATCTATCACAGACACTTAGATTTGCTGTGTATCAATACTATAAAAACAAATGTTCATGTATTTGTTAGTGATTGATAAACAGAATTAAACTTCCCGGCAGGCAGAAAGTGTATTTCAGGTTTTCATTTTTAATAAGTCAACATTTTAAGTCATGCCAAACTAGCATGATCCATGGGATATGATGGAAGAGCAGGAAGAGTTACTGTCACCACTAACAATATATGTGATGTGAGCTGACTGCTAATGACCCGTCATGCGGCAAGCCCTTTGCCTTGACTTTGGAAAGGCACATGAGCTCCAAAACTTTGTTTTAATGAATCTTCCCCAAGGCCACATTTTATTTTCAGAAATGTTCCATGCTGGGAGTTGTTCACAAAGTGAAATAACTACAGTATAACCTAATTGCAGTATGTTATGTTGTGATTAGAATTAAAAAACATTTTATGAAATCTCGGGTTCAGAGAAATTGACTGCTCTGAATCAAATTCCCTAAACTTTTTACTCAGAGTGACAAAATTAAGCATATCAAGGGGCTGAGCGCCAAACCAATCTGTATTTTATATTTAAAAAAGTTAGTCAGCATTCAATATTCATTATTCTCAGTCCGTTCATTTTGGCGCAAATTCATCAAAATAGATACTCTCGGGGCCTTTTCTCGTTCTTTTTAGGCAACCTGCATTAAATCGGTAAACTCAGACAGATCTTTTGTAGCCAGTTCAGCTGTAGCAGACGATACATCTTTTAAACCACTATTGCAAAACTATCCATTTTTACTGTATTTTTCCCACCTCTAGTGATTTAAAGGCACAGTAAAGGATTCAGATTAGCTTAGCATTAGCATCTGAGTAGCACAGAGTCAAACCTATTGCACATGTTCTTAGCTGTAGGAAACCGTAGTACCCAGAAAATACCTACGCAGACACGGGGAAATGCAGCTTTAAGGCTAGTTTGTATATCAGATGTATATGTTTAAATGTTTTAAATAGTAATACTCATCATGTAAACTCTCTTTCAACAGTTTATGCTTCTGGATTTATTCAAAATAATACATCATAATAATATATTTTATACTCACTCTGGTCGGACTTGGTGGGCGACGTGGGGCTTAACCTCTCTGTAGAGTTGTCACTGCCCTCGTCCAACACATAGTCAAAGTTGACGATGAACATCATGACTATGCCCTCCTCGTTCTTCACTGGGATGATGTGAGTGGTGCACTGGAAGTCTGAGCCTGCCAACACACAAGCAACATGTGAGACCACTAGCAATGCCTTTTTGATACGCCATTCTGAAGTTTATTGTTAGGTAATAAAATCTATGATTGCAGAATGATCAAAAATTAATTGCATATGTCCAGGAGTCCCCAAATTATTACATGTAAAATGCAATTTGCAGACCACACTTTTATAAATAAGTTAGACGGAAAAGGATATATTATGAATTCCCTCTCTGCCATATCCGTTGGTTTTTCTGGTACAATCGATCATTTGATAAAACATTTCATCAAACAATTATCAGCCCACAAAATTCTTTAAAATGCCGATCTGTGGACAATTGTATCATTCTTACACAAACAACAAACTGTTGAAATAACAATCTGTTCTGCCACAGCCTCCAGAGCAAAAGTCAAACATTTGTAACTGCAGTACACATCAAGTAACTTTACACTGGTTGGGTCAGGGTTAGGGTTAGAGATATACACATAACAGGGATGTTGCGGGTTTGAGTCCCATGTCTGGGTGACTTTCCTTGAAGCGCTCTGGTTTCTCTCCGACCCAAAACATGCACAATTGGTAAAATCCTCCAACAAAAGTCCTGACCGAACCCAGCATCAACACTGGTGACCATTGCTCTAGTAGCATTGAGGGAATGGTCAAATTAAAATGATCCATAAAGTCACAGGGGCCAACAATGTATGCATGAGAGAACTAGTGATTGTTTAAGAGTGAGGAACATGTTAGACGGATTGACATAATTACATTTGTTGTGGTTTAAAAAATTAGGTATGACAGCTTTCCTGGTGAAAGTGTAGACGTTAAAGGTGTGCTTAAACATTTAAGTATTGCCATTTAATTGTTGATAAAATTGACTTTCATTTGGGGCAGAGTTAAAAAAAAAACTTTCCTCAAGCCTGCACCCCATTGCCAATCATGACATGACCACATTCCTGTACCTGCTTCTCCACACACAATCCACTTCTTTCTACTTCCAGGCTACCATACTTCAGATTCCCTCTCTACAATCTTACATTGGACGCATTAAACATTATGAGTCCATCCACGGATAAAGCAGAAGATGATCAGACCATAATGCAAGAGCGAGAGCGCACTGGAACCCGGCAGGCGCAGGGTTACGTGGGACAGAGCACACAGTGGACACAGCCTGGAGCAGTGTGCGCGCCAATCCACCCAAACGAGAAGAAAAATGAGAAGCATGCAGCATCTTGAAAGGCAACGGGGCGGAAAAAGCCTCGCCGCTCTAAACTTAGTCTGAGTATTACACACCGCTCTGCAGCAGCACTGGTTGAGTCTGCAAAGGCCGGTGGGAACAGACGCGCCGCTGAAAATTTAAACAAGCCAGCTATAAATAACGACAATTAAAGAGGGAGTTGGCGTGTCTTGGATGAAAAATTGTTTAGTCATTAATGTGCAGTTAATTGGTGGGAAACAGATGCTGTTATGAAATATTTATATGAATTGGAAAAACTGCAGTGTGGGAGAATTGGTTTGATTGGACAGCAGATCCAGTTCTGCTTAATAAAATTTTGTTTAGAACCAAAAAGTGGAACTTCAGAACTATTTGTGTTTTATTGCTATGGAACAGTGTTTATAATAAATACTTTACACAACTATACATAGTTTCCTATCTATAGGATAGATCCATAGGATCTCCACAAGGGTGTGTCCTCTCACCCCTTCTGTATATACTTTACACAAATGACTGTCAGAGCAAGCATCCAAACAGATGACACAGTCCTGGTCAGTCTGCTGCAGGATGGAGAAGTGGAGCATGAACCAGTCAAGAGGACATTGTCCAGTGGTGTGACAGGCACTTCCTCACTCTGAATGTTGTTGTATTGTATTGTTGTTAGTAATTATTTGTTTGCTCCGCCACATGCAAACAATTTTCCGCTTGGGGACAATAAAGATTTTGAGATGAGTTGAAACTAAAACAATAAAGTGTTTTGCTTCACAACACAGGAAGTACTCTTTCATGTTTTCAAGTCCACACATATTCATTGTGTCTTCTGAGAGCAGACGACAAAGAAAGTCTTCACAGTTTTCTTTAGTTAAAAAGTAACAGATTACTATATTATTTAGTACCATATAAAACTAGCACTAATTTCAAAACAATAAAATCCCAAACTGACAAAAGTCACTTTCTGTGGTAAATGATACTGCATCTTACTTTCCACTGATCCAAAATGGGTTTCAAGATCCCACTGCGTCTACCCCTATCTCAGAGATAATGAAAAATGATTACAAACTAAATCAAATTAGCTTCTTTTTTTCGCAGCGGTATGTATCCGATTAGTCTAAATAATTGAAATGATTCACTTTAACTGGACTAACTCTGGTTCACTTGGGAGAAAAATGCTTTCTTGGTGGACAGAATTCAGATTACTTTTTAAAGTAATTTTAAGTGATCTTACCCACATTGCTGATTACAGACAATAGAATATTGATTTGCCAGATAATGAGCATACCACATAAAGCAAGCCTTCAGGGAAAAATATAGAAAAATAATATAACAATGATTTAAGACTGGCAGCTGGTCAAAGCCCCAAATGAACGTTTGTAGACTGTTCTAACCAGCCCGTCTGCACCTGTCACACACACACACACACACACACACACACACACACACACACACACACACACACACACACACACACACACACACACTCACTAACACTCACACACGCTCACACTGCCGACAGTGTTCATTAGGAGCCGGGTCCTACTAAATATAATGCGTCCTGGTGCGTCCGTCTCAAATTTGAAAAAGCCCTGCAGGTTCTATAGCGGCACTGTCACCATGACGATAGCGAGACATGACTTTGACGGATAGGAGACAATGAGGCAGTGAGTAAGGCTGTTTCATATACGAACATTGGGGTCAAGCGGTGAGGAGGTTTTGGATAAAGAAATGTGCCGATTGAAATTGCACAATGTTATGTAAAGAAATGCTATTTTTCTATTCAGTTTTCACATTATTCCAACATCATGATCCAAACTAAACAAAACAAATCAAATACTGTATAAATGTTTTCAATAATTGTCATTGAAAATGTATTTACTGCTCTATGGCTCCAACAGATGATTTTACAACTTAAACAGTGCAGTATCTACATTAACTAATTCAATTCAATTTATTTGTGTATAGCCATAAATCCCAACAGAACTTATCTCAGAGGACTTTACAAAAGAGTTGAATTTGCCACCACAGATCAGAAAATCAAACAGTGATTAATCAAAATGATATTCTCTTGATGATGTATTACTCCAAAGAGTTCTGTTTAGCTGTTTGAACTGAAAGATTGTGCACAAATGTATTATTACGTTTTTTGATGAACCAAATCAAAATATTCGCTTGATGATGATTTCCCCATGAAGGGTTTTATTAGATTTGATTTGATGTCATTTTTTTTAATGTATTGACAATGGTTCTTCATCTTCATCATACAAAAGTAGTGATGTGGATTTAGAAAGCAAAGGGCCAGTCATTTCTTTCAAATCCAATCTGCTTTGTCCAAAGGCTCAGTGTTTTGCCAAAATCCTAATTCCTATTTCCAAACTAATCTGATGTGAACTTTGGAGCTCTGTGTCATGTTGGGTCAGAGGAGAGAACATCATTTATGGAGCTCACACTGTAATAAGTGACAAAACCAAGATCTGGCAAAGCTGTAGTTTATTATACAGTCTTTATTTACACAAATGCAGCCATAATTCAATTAGATTAGATAAGATTCAACTTTATTGTCATTACAAAGTCAGAAGAATGCAACACAATGCAGTTCAGCATCTAACCAGTAGTGAATTACCGCAAGTATAGGATAATATATACAATACATTTTTATTTGTTGAGCGCATTTCCTACACAATGCAACACAGATAAACATGTTTGTGTAATGTACAAAACTGATATTACTGGTATACACATTAATTATATTATATCAATTATAATGTGGGGGAAGTGTCCTGCCTAAGTACACGTCCACAGTCTGCATGTGTCATATAGGCTGCAGAGGGAGTAGACCCGTAGTGTTTGCCTTACTGCAGAAGAAGTTGATTAGCGCAAACTCAAACAGGCTCCATTGGTGGGAATCTGGATTACAAATCAAAGCTATACGACCAAGCAACCAAATAACCAATCAGAAGTGGCGCTGGTCTGTTTGTTACCGAGCTCAAGGACAAGAAGGCACCTGCTCAGGCAATCGCTAGGGCTAATATCTGGATTTACAAAGGCCCAACTTGCTTAGCTTCTCCTCTTAGATGTGATGAGATTGGGCATTGACAAGCAGTATAATAAAAACATTACGAACCCGGGGGCATCATATAGGCCAACTCAACATCCGCCTGTTTTTCATTTGAAATACATGATTTGAAGTGGCCCCTGAGAACAATAAGCATTCCCCTAAAAGCATGTCAGCTCTTTTGTCATGCATTTTACTGGACATGCTTTTCTCCATATGTGACATTACGCAACCTTTAAACGCTAAAAGGTCAAACTGCCCTGGACTGGGAAAGATGACAATATCAACATCCTCCTATATGTGCAAACCGCTGCTGACACAGCCTCATGCACAGTTTACATGTTTCCATTTTACAGCACATCAGCAATCCTACTTTGTTTCCCTCATAGCCGACTCATAATATTACTATTAAATATGAATTAGTGTATGAAGCACCTTCCATACATACAATATCAGATTATTGTGGGCTCGCATTGTTCAGGTATATATTATTAAAACATATTCTCTAAGATTATTTGGCAGTTTGGTAAAAAAACATTAATCTAATTTCGATCTGTGCTGTTCAGATTTTGTAGATTTGTTGAAAAGACATATTGATGACTCCGTTTTCTAAAGGGCACGAAAGCTGCAGTGACAACAGTATGCAAAGATTGTCAATGCATCTAATGAGACTTAAATGTCACTGATTAGGGATTGGCAAAGGTGGTTAATAATAATTTTGTTTCTGTTTTGTGACTCAAATCAGCAGTAACATT